ATAATACAAATAACAATAATAAAAATAATAATAATAAAAATAATAGTAGTAAAAATAATAAACAATGATAATAAAAATAAAAATAATAAAATAATAATAAAGTAATAATAATAAACAATTATAACAACAATGATAAAAATAATAAAAGTAATAATAAATAATAATGACAATAACAACAATAATAATAACACACTCTTCGATTAACTGTGGGCTTCAGGAAACGGTATCCCTCAGTGAGGCTGCTTCAGAGTGAGAGAGCGGCACCAGTGCTAGTGGGAGGGAGCAACTCCACCAGGGTCAAAGAGAGCCTACAGATATCTCGCAACGCAGATTCGCTGCTCTTCCTCATTGAGGGCCCGGATTCCCCCATGGTCACTGCTCACACATCTCCGCATTGGTGGGAACCGTAATACCGTAACCAGCTCTGTGCGGCACCGAGGGATGCCTCTCTGGGACGCAAAATTTCTCTGCCAAAATTACCATGAAAATTTACCGGCACACCCACAGTTGCACTGATTCGTAACGCCTTTTTATAGTCATAGAACTGTCCACTCCCTGACCAGTAGTTGCTTTGACCAGTGCCACATTGTGGGTCAGTGGCCGGTTGGAGTCCCTGACGCTCGTTTTGTCTCCTGAACGGATTATCAGAATAACAATTTGCTTGACAATTGAAAAACATATTTCTTGCTAAATTAGTTCATTTGAAAGCGAATAAACAACTTGACAATATTAGGGGTACCGGACCCTGGCACCCGGGTAGAAATACCCGCTTGGGAAGGAAGACCACGGCGCGCACCCACCAGGCCACCCCTCGGAACCACATCGGCGGCACATGACACAAACAGGTATAGGCGGATCCAGGACAGGCTCCTGAGAGGGGCGGGGTGGGGCGGGGACAGTGAAGCTCCTGGGGGAGGGGCGACGGGGAGTGGGGAAGAGAGTCCCCTCCCACCCAGGAACTATGCAAAAACTAGGAATAGAGTTGTAACGCACTGCTACTTGGAGTTACTTTAGGCTTTAGTTTACTTTAGTTTTAGTTTTAGACCCGGACTTTTGCAGCACTGGTGTGTCAGTGCCACTGGGGTGGAGGGGGAGGGGGGAACGAAAGACCGCCCACTCGAGGGCCTCCTATCGATTCGCCTATACAAAACAGGGGAAATTTTGAATTTTTCGTTCGATTTTCAGCTGCATTACGGCGTGAATTCGTGGCACGAAGTGCCGGTTGGCCAGTTGTGCTACGGTATCGAGGGCGGTCACTGCGTACGCGTCGGTGGGGCGTTGCGGTAGGAGGAAGAGGCTTGAGGGTAGGGTGTTCCAGGGTAGCATGGACTATGTGTGAGGGTGGGGGACGTGGGGTGGGGGCACTGCGGCGAGTCACGGATTACTGTGAGACTTAGGGGCGCCTGGGGTGGCATCGAGGTGGCCGGGGGATTCCGCCCCGTACTTTCCAAAGTGTATCCCGAAAAATCAATTTTTGCATCGATCTTTGTAATTTACGTTCCTCTGACGGCGCTGTCACACTGTGGTGCGAGGCGGGGACGTGGGCGTGCGTGGGCGGTGCCTAGGCCTATTACTACGGGTTACTGGTGGTTCCGGAAGGTCGACCACACGTTGGTTGCAGCGCGGATGCCAGAATTTCATGGTTATATATTGTCAAAATAGCCGGATCACCTGCGATTCTCTCATATGTGTGGTACTTGCGAATTGTTGCAGTTGACAACTTTTCCAGTTGTTCTGACCACTCGCCGCATTACCCGCTGCTGCTGCTGGCGGTCACTCTGATGACCGGCGATGCTGAGACGCATTCGTTTTGTCTCTTAAATGAAATAGTAGAATAGAGGGATTGGACTTAAGCGTTATGTATAAAAAGGCATTTTACGATGCAGCGCCACTCTGTGTTTCATCCCTTAGCTGTAAACACACAGACCGAACTTTGTATGCGGTTAGGAGCGGGAATCATCAGAATTCAGTTCTGCCGACAGAAGCATTCGGCCAGGTCTTTGGCTATTTCGGCATGCCACTGCTGATGAGTATCTCATCTCGAACATTACCACACTGCTAGACAACAACCACAATGAGATGCCCAGCCAATTAGGCAATATTAAAAAAAAATTTTTTTTGTTCTATCGACTAATTTTCCTCTTTCATATTTCGGCCCTTCATTTTGGCCTTTTCTAATTCTTCGCTTCATTTTGCAACCGTCTTACACTGACGAAGTCCAGTTGTGGTACTATTGAAATAAGATGTATCGAAATTTCCTTTTTATTCAGTTATATTATATTCTGTTTTTCTTTTTACACTATACATATCTCTTTTCCAGTTACTCTTAAAAAATTTTATCACAATTACTGATATTACTATTATTATCATCACTATTATTACCGCCGTTATTATTATTGTTACTTTGATTATTATGATTATTATCATTATTATTATTATCATTACCATCATTATAATATTCGAATGGATTTAGATTCATCGGTTGTTATAGGGGCAGGGTTTACTGCTGGTGGAATATGCAACTTATGCTGTTATCTTTTACAGCATATTTGTTTCTTTCACTTCTCCCTCATCGTTCTTTGTTGTTCTGAGAGGGTGATGCTGACCTGTGGAGTGTTCCCTTATACTCTGCACAATCAGATGATCATTGTCCTGTGGTCATTTGAGCAGCATTGGCGTACTGGTCATGAGGGAGGTGGAGGACAGGAATTCCTTGCGAGACTTCAGCAATGAAGCATAGTTTTCAGCGATCTGCTGAACCAGGGATGTTATAGTCCATTTCCATGTTCTCCCATGTTTTGACGTAGCAAGGGTCAGGGTGCGAGAGAGGGAGGGGGGGAGGGGATATTTTTTGATAATGTTTGGGCCTATTTTATATTTATTTACATATATATATGCATATATAACACATATGAACAGTGTTATGTTTTTTTCTATGCTATATTACTATTTTTGTATATTTGTTTCTTTTTACATATACCAACTTGTTTACTTCATCTACTTGTATACTTTTACATGATTTACAAGTTCAGTGGCTGCACTCTGGATTAGCTGTGGTGAGATGTTTACACAGTCCTCGTCTAATAGTTCATCGTGAAAATGCACGATTACTCGTTCTCCATGCACAATATTATTCATTTTTTTTTTTCATTCCCCAGTGCAGAGCAATCCGAAAGGATGTTTGGCGATGCGAGCATCAGTCGCGCAAACGAACGGCACTGAAACGAGAACATTGCGATCACGAAAATCTGCTCGAGCAATGGAACAAAAAGAGGATACACCGAAAAAATCTGCTAACAGACCTGGTGGTGAGTCATTTTGAAATTTTTTCACAGATTTGCTTGAAGGGGTGTTCCCTTAGTGGTTTTTCCTGAATTAAAGAAGGGAACGGTCTGTAATATTCAGGATTTGCGATTGTAAAAATGCTGTTAGAAAAGAGAAGAAACATGATTCAGAACAGAAGTATTCTGTAGTTTGCAAACAAACGGAGGCTGATGGATAGTGCTAAGTTAAACTGTAATTGAAAAGATAACAGGAGTGTAAAAAGCTGTGGAAGGGAATAGTAAGGGAAGGAGACGTTGCCGAGAATAACAGGACCGCTCAGACTATCACTGTGGATACCCCTGCTAGTAATATTGCTAAGGTACTCCCATGCGCCGAATACAGCTATGCGAAGCTCTTCGTTCCCAGGCTTCATGCCTCCAGTTAGTATCCACTACC